AACCACCATATCATCAATATAAGCCTCCATTGTCCGGCCTAGCAGAGGAGCGAACATCTTGGTCACCATCCTTTGAAAAGTTGCCCCGGCGTTCTTCAAACCAAAGGCATGACTCGGTAACAGAAGAGTCCCCTTGGTGTAGTAAACAAGGTGATCTCTCGGTCGGGCCCATGCATGGCAATCTGATGGTAGCCGCGGTAGGCGTCCAAGAAACTGAGCCTGTTATGTCCAGCCGTTAAGTCCACAAGCTGGTCTATTCTAGGCAGAGGGAAGCTGTCTTTCGGACAAGCTCAATTGACGGTCTTGTAGTCAACGCAAACTTGCCACTTCCCATTCTTCTTGGGAACCACGACCGTGTTTGAAATCCACCGAGGGTAGTGCACTCTCTGAATTGCTCGCGCCTTAAGCAAGTTCTTCACTTCCTCCGCAACTATCTCGGCGTGATGCAGCGCCGATCTCCTTATGCGCTGAATGACCGGCTTTACTCCGGGAAAGACATTGAGATGATGGCATATAAAACTCGGATCGAGACCGGGCATGTCGTAAGGTGACCATGCGAAGACTTCGATGTTGGCCATCAAAAATTTAACCATGTCGGTCCTTTCTTGGGCTGTAAGGCTTAAGCTGAGCAAAAAGAACTTGTCCGGATGCTTTGTATCAATACGCACTTCCACCAATTCTTCGACAGCTTTGTCCTCGGCCTTGGTGCCCACATCGTCAAGGACTCCCCGGTCTTTCGGTCCCTCAATCATTTGAATGAAGCCTTTGGCAGCTCGGCTCCCGTTGACCGCCACGAAGCATTGCTTCAACATGACTTGATCGCCCCAAATCTCCTCGATTACCCCCATAACCGAGGGAAATCTCATGACCTGATGATAGGTCGACGCTACGGCTTGCATAGCGTGAAGCCATCCCCTTCCAAGGATCAAATTATAAGTGAATGGCACCTGCAACACCCAGAACTCCACTTGTTTGACCACGGATCCCACTTTGACCGGCAGGATAATCTTTCCCAAAGGCCACTCTGATTGTGAGTTGAAACCAACCAGTGGCGAAGTTGCCGGGGCCAAATCTGTATCCCGGAGCTTGAGCTGTTTGAAAGCGTCGTAGTACATGATCTCGACCGAGCTTCCCTGATCGATCAAGATCCGTTTGACATCAAATTCTTTAACGCGGAGTGTAACCACTAGGGCATCGTTGTGCGGCGTCTGAATGCGCTTCAGATCTCTTCAGAAGAATTTGATCACATCTTTCTCTTCGGTCTTCCCCCTCTTGATCGCAGGCTGAACCGACAAAACTTCCCTCATGTGTTCTGCCTTCTTGATCATACCTCGGAGCTCGCATACACGCGCCGGTTCCACTATGCCGTGGATGACATTAACAACCCCTTGTGGAGGCCCATCTTGGTCATCCGATCCCCGCGGGTCAACCGGAGCTTGATTGGCCTTCACGCCGCCATCAATGTAAAGGTCCAGGTGTCCGGCTGCGACTAGCTCTTCCAAGTGTTGCCTCAAAGGTAAACAGTTCTCTGTCCGGTGGCCTCGCTCTCGGTGAAACGTGCAACGGTACCTCGGATTGAAGCCCTTCTGTCCGTCGCCTAACTTAGCAGGAAACCGGACATACTCCTCGTCACGAATTTCACTAAGTATGCGATAGATTGGAATCTTAAAGACCGTGGTGATGCCTGTCCTTGCTTTCAACCTTCTGTTTGCATCGGCTACGTCATCCCGGGGGTAGTCATCCCGATCATTCCGACGTCCCCTATCCCAGTTTTTGTGATTAGTGCCTCGGTCCGATTCCTCAGCGCGGTCGCTGGATCGGCCGGACTCCTGCCCGACCACGTGCACTTTGCTAGCTGACCTCTTGTCCGCTACTACCGGAGTTGTTTTCGCGCTAGATGCCGACACATCATCCTCCATACGGATGTGCTCATTGATGCGTTGCATTAGCTGGCCCATGGATGTCGGCTGGTGCATGGTAAGCGAGTCCCGCAGTCTATGCCCGACCGGGAGACCTCGCTTGTATTGTGTGATTGCAAGTTTGACCGGGCAATCCAAAATCTCATTGAAGGTCTCCCAATATCTGGAGTTGTATGTCTTCAATGTGCGCTCGGTTCCATTTTGACACTTAGTAGGTGGTCAACTTCCTTTGGTGTTTTCGTGTTGGTTTTGAAGCGCGTCACAAAGGCCTCAGCCAACTGAGGCCACCTTTCTATGCTCCCCTCCGGTAACCTCTCGAACCATTTCAAGCCCAGTTCGCCTAAACTTGACAGGAAGATGAGGCACATAAGTGCGTCATTCTGCCTATATCCGGCCATGACCTATCGGAAGTGACTCACATGCATGTAGGGATCGATTTTCCCGTCGTAGAGTGTGAATTTAGGCTGGTGGAAACCTACCGAAAGCGGTGTCATTTCTATCTCCAAGGAGAAAGGGGTGGCGCTCAGCCTTGCCAAGTCTGTATCTAGAAGGAGTGGCGCTGCTTGGCGGGGTGGAGGCATTCCGACCTCCTCGCTGGCGTGAACCCCATAGGATAGCCGCTGGAACGCCGGCACCCTCTGAGCCTCCCGTCGACGAGCTCGTTCCTTTAAGACTGCCCGCAAATCCTCTGAACGAGCGGAATAAGAATACCTCGACGTCGTCACCGGACGTGAGGGTCGATAGGTGCTGTCTTGCGCGCTGGACTTCTCTTCGTGCAGGTCGGAATCTCCAACCTTGTAACTTCTGGTGATAGAAATGGACGCAGTGTGTCACTGACTCTGATTGCCTGAACGGCGGGATTGGGTGCGCTCACTGTGGTCTCCCACTCCAGCTACACCCTTCCCTTTAACATGCCGCTTCAGCTCCTCCATCTCCGCCGCCATTCGCCGGATGACGGCGTCCTGGTCCCTTAACTTGTGTTCCAGACGTTTGACATGTGATTCTCTCCGCCGCCGATGACCGTCTGGACTCCGTGAATGACCATAACTTCTTCTGCGGTTATCCCGCGCATCTCTTGAATGTCCTCCTGGAGAAGTCTTCGGGTCCGCCATCGGAGGAACGATGGTGGAATGCCCTTCTCTCCGTCTGCCTAACTCCGGGGTAATTCCGTCGATGGCAGACAATGGAATCTCGTCGTTGTTCGCCATGGACGGCGATCAGATGAGCCTGGAAGACAAGGTTTTGTCTGTCAAGTTCCCACAGACGGCGCCAATTGTATAGGGAGCTAATATTTAGGCAAGCCCGTATTCCTTTCTTCCAAACTCCGTTTCTGTCCGATCACCTGCGTGCACAACAGCAGTGAGCTACCCGGCGGTGTGTGGCCCAAAAACCCCTCCGACGACCAAGTTAGCACACACCTAAGGATAGAGAGAGAGTGGAGGGAGTTGAGTGTAAGTGTTTCTCTTACCAAATATTCATCTGTCCAGCATGGGGGGCGCAGACTTGCTTATATACATTCTGCGCCCCAAATCTACTCACATTCGTCTCTCGACACGTGGTGCTGCTATCCCATCTGTCAACACAAATCTTGCTGAACATCACCTAACCTAACTGCCAGCCCATTGTATTAGGAGCTCGGCAGCTGGGCTGTAGCATCTCGGCTGTCAACGGCCATGCTGCGTTTCATGCCCAGGTGCCCCCAACAACTGAGCTCCTTTCCAGCCATGCTCAACTGCATTCCGGCGAAGCCAAGCTTGAGATTGGTCATACCGGTCAACCAAAGTCCTTCCTACCGAGCTTCAGGCATGAGCCTTCACGCCGAGCTATGGATGCGTGCTTTCCAACCGCGCAACGCATAAACCGTGGAACCCTTACTTGACCGGCCTCCGTGCCGACAAGGTGAAGTAGCTCGATTCCACATGCCCTTGTCATTGCCGAGCAAAAATCACTTCTGGGTGGACCCGGGATACCACGGCCCAAATGTGTTCGGCCCACAATTTGCCTGGTATTACCATAACCTAATCCAGACCATATTTTTTCCTCTCAATAAATTATTATAATATGGTGCCACATCATTTATAAAAAATTGTGAAATTCTCATATTACCCTCATGCACAAGCTGGAAATTACCAGTTTGCCCTCCTTGTTTAGTGACAAATTTTGTTATTTTTTCTAGGGATATTTTGGTAAATTTGTGTCATGGCTCATTTGGTCTTGGGATAATTATACTTACACCACAAAATAATCTCCTTACACCCTTTCTCTTTTTACACCAAGATGGCTTATGTGTCCTTTTTCCTTTCTCTTTTTTCTTCCCAAGATGGCTTACACTCTGTTTGCATCGTGCCGTAATACTTGTGAAAAAAGAAAAAAGAAAAAAATATTGAAGATTCACCATTATATTTGTATAAATAAAAGAGAAGAAAATATAATTTATCACTTATTTTTGAATAAAGTAAATAAGAGAAAATAAATAAAAGTATTATATTTTATTTTATTAAAATAATTTTCTATATTAATAAATTATAATTTTTCATAAGAATAATTTTGATATTTTAAAAAAAAATCATTTAGTGTGTTTGGTTTGACTTTTTTGGATTAAATTTTTTGAAAATTGACGTTTTTTATTTTTGTATTTTTTTTATTTTAGTAAATATTTTTTAAATTTTAAACATTTTTTTTTTACTTTTTTAGATGCACCTTACTTAGATGTATCTAAAAAGTAAAAAATTTGTGAAAAAATATTTTAAAAAATTAATAAATATATAAAAATACAAAAAATGTACTGAATTCTTGTATTTTTTTATATTTTTGGTATTTAGTGAATTTTTAAAAGATTTTTTTTATAATTTTTTTATTTTTTAAGTCTATTTATGTTAGGTGCGTCTAAAAAAGTAAAAAAATTATTTAAAATATTAAAAAAATTTGTAAAAACAAAAAAAATATGAAAAATAAAAAAATAAAATTTTTTGAAAAATATTTTTTGAAATGTAAAAGCAAGCAAGGTTCAATTCATTTTGCCACCAAATCTCACTACTTTCTGGTAAAAAAGCAAAACATAAATTTCTGAACACATCCTCAACGCACTCCCTTCACTTCGAAGTTTCGTAACACGTAGATATTTTTACATACAGAGAGAGAACGAAGAAGAGACAACGAAGAGAGAAGAGCGATCGAGCGAGAATCGAGAGAGAGAGAAAGCCCGCAAGAATCTAGAGAGAGAGAGAGAGAGACGAGACAAAGAAATGTCTTCATTCGATACATACAGCAACGACGGTGTTGAAGACCCGATGGGGACTTCGGCTCATCCATTCGCCGACAACGACGGCGGCTACGACACCTACTCCAGCTACGCCTCCGCCGATCCACCGCCGTACGACGGCGGCGGTGGCGGATTCACCGCTGACTACGATGAGGTCACCGTAGATTACGCTTCTCACTCGGCGAACGGTGCTGATTCCTTTGGTTTCGGCTCAGATCCGAGCCACGAGTACGCTCAATCGTCGCCGTTCGCTTCTTCGATCCCTGTATCCAACGGCAATGGCAAATCGTACGACATTGGTGAAGACGCCGACGGAATTTTCAGTTCCGATGGGCCGGTGCTTCCGCCTCCTACTGAAATGCAGCCTGATGAAGGTTCCGCACTTCGCGAATGGCGACGGTACGCTTTGATTCACTTCTTCTTTTTTTCTTTTTTCTTTTACTTGTGATGTGGTAATTGCGTATAGATCTGAAAGTTCACTTGTTTGTAGTAATTGATTTAGTTAACAGCTGATTGTCTACTTTTGATTTGAGTTTTTCGATTTCATTTCATGTTCGTCTTCAATGCTTTTGAAATCACAATGTGGAGATTGATTTTAACTAATATATACATTTTTTTGGCTCCTAATTTGTTTCTGCTATCCATTTAAGAAGAATTTCATTACAAGCTTTTATTTATTTGATGCAATCTTAAATGGGCATGTGTGTCTGAGTCTGATGCAAGATCATTTTAAATTTTAAAATTTTAAGAAGCAAGAGAAAGTTATACAAGATTATGAATTACCAACTGTGAATTTGGATGCTTATTTCCTGCACACGTATGCAATGTTTTGTGAATTTCCTGATAGCATAAGGTGAACCTCAGTTTTCTTTTAAAATGTTGGGGGTAAATTACACTTACCACTCTTGTGGATTAGAAAAATACAATTACTTCACAAGTTTGGCATCATTACACCTATTTCTGAATCTTGGTTAATTGAATCTCATGCTCCGGGTATTATTTCTCGATGGTTCGTATATGAGCCTCTTCAATTTCTAGGACCCATAAATTAAGTTTTTGTTGTTATAGAACATGGTACTCTATGGGATCAATGAATAGTGTACGAATAGAGTAAAAGAGGAAATAAAATAAGTAGAGAAAGGTTATATGCTATATAAAACTATATACCAGTCTTTCCTTTTAGTAAAGTTAAAGTAACCAAAATTAATGCAAGGTTAAAACTAATGCATGGTTAAAGTAACCGGAACTAATGCAGAAAGTTTGTAAACATTGGAATAAACAAAGGTAAAATATTTCAGTGTAACATGGATGAAAAACCTTAAGGAGTTATGTAAAAACTTGGGGTTCGATTTATTTTTTTTAAATTTTAACGTTGTGTTTAGTTGTGGTATTTGGGAAGGGATTTGAAAAATGAAAGAGAAAATGTGTGTGAAATTAGGTGAAATATAGGTATATTTTATTCACATTTCGCCTACTTTTTCTCATTCTCTTTTCTAATCCCTTTCCAAATCCTCTAACCAAACACAGCGTAAGGGAAATTAGTGTAATTTACCCTATTTTTTTGTGGGATGCTGGTTAATATGAAATTTGAATTGTATAACATTATGGGTGTGTTTGTTTGGGCGGACTGGATAAGGGGGATTGTAATCCATCGGACTGTTAATCCCGGGATACATCTCTGGACTATTTGGTTAGATTGGATTTGTATCTTATGTTTGTTTAGTCATGTGATTAGATATCTAGATTGGACTATTTTTAGTGAATCCAATATTTGGCTAGACGGACTAAATAAGAATAAATATTCAAAAGACTATTTTACCCTTATAATTTATAATTTAACAACACTAAAAAATTTTTATTTATAAGGCCATAATTTTTAATTTATTATTTTCAATTAAATTAAATTTATAATTTATATTTTTTATTTAATATATAATTTTAAATTAACAACACTAAAAAAATAATTTATAAATGTTCAAAAGATTGTTTTACCCTTTTCTAATTGTTTGCTAAGTAATAGCATGAGGGTAAAATGGACATTTCAGAGCCTAATCGTATAGGATACCAATCCCATGGAAATAATTCCACCCCCTCCCATGGGATAGGATAGTTCCATATTTGTAGGACTAATAGTTTGGGGAGACTATTAGTTCGGAGCAAAATCTTTCAAACAAACAATGGACTATTAATACAGTGGGATTAATAACCCAATCCCACACTCTAATCCTTCAAAACAAACGCACCCATGGTGTTTTAGAACAACACCAAATTGCAACCACCTTTCAGTGTTTTAAAAACTAGAACCATGTTGACTGGTGCAGTCAAAATGCAATTCGGCTTGAGGAGAGGGAAAAGATGGAGAAGGAGTTGCGGAATCAGATTATCGAGGAAGCTGAAGAGTATAAACGAGCTTTCTATGAGAAAAGAAAGCTCAATATAGAGACTAGCAAGATTGACAACAGAGAGAAAGAGAAGGTGAAACCTTGAAGATGCTCTTATTATAATTATATATACCCATATGTTTGATTTCTGTATTCCTTTATATTTTTGATAGGTGCTTAACATTAAAATCTGTGGGTTTTTCTTTTTTTTCATGTGGCAGTTATACTTGGCTAATCAAGATAAGTTCCACAAAAATGCTGATAAACAATACTGGAAAGCAATAGCAGAGCTCATTCCTCATGAGGTTCCCAATATTCAGAAGAGAGGCAAGAAGGAGCAGCAAGAAAAGAAGCCAGGGATCACAATCATCCAGGGCCCCAAGCCCGGGAAACCTACTGATCTCTCAAGGATGCGCCACATATTGGTGAAGCTGAAGCACACACCCCCACCTCACATGGTACCACCGCCCCCACCCGCTCCTGCCAAGGATGCCAAAGATGGAAAGGATACCAAGGTCGGAAAAGATGCCAAAAATGGAAAAACCGCAGCATCAAATCCAGCTGGAGAGTCACCGCCTGTTCATGTGAAAGATGTCAACATTAACAATTCTCCACCATCATCCACGTCTAAACAAGAAGAGTCTGCTGCTGCAACTGACCCCAGGCCTGCTATCTGACTTAGATTCGACGGCCTCATCAAGCATTGTGCATTTTCACTCCAAAATTTTTATCTGTTTGTTCCATTTTCACATTATTGTTGCCATTTTGCCGTGTCTGTTACTGTGGAAACCCGTCTTTACTTTTCTTTGAGATATGATGTTGATTGAGATTTTAAAATTCATTGTCACATTCTTTATAAAATTATAATTTGTGATAACTAGATTTTTTTTAATGAATATATCAGATGATGGCATCTGATTTCTCTTTCTAAGTATTAGCTAATCAACCAGTGCAAGGGTCTGTTTGGTTGAATGTGATTAGAACTTAAATAACAGTCTCAATTTAATTTGCTAATGCATTCCTGAAGAATTTTGAATGACAAAAATCTTTAAGGGTAAAGGTAATTTGATTCCGGCATTTAGATTGGAATAGAATAGAAAAAGAAAAGTAATTTGTGATTATTTATTTCAGTAGGAATTACATTTTTAAAATCTGATTTCTTCACTTTTCTATAGGAATCTCACATTCCTAGAGGAACATTAGGCATTTAAGAGTAAAAAATAGTAATTGGACTCAACAATATTTAAAACTTCTCATTTCTCATGGAGAATTCCCAACATGGAGAATTCCTAACAAAATTAAACATTTGAATACATTATTGTGTTCGAATCTTGGATTAGTGGAAGAATTTGTAAAGAAAAAGAAGTCATTATATGATCCACACATTCCTCCACAAATTAATGATCCAAACACATCATTAATGTGTCCCATGTCATTATAGGCAGATACAGCTTACAATATGTTTAGGTATACAGTCAACCAATCTAAAGATGGTTACTTGCAATTATATTTCTCAAATAATTTACCACCAATACAAATTAATCTGTTGAACTTCACAAAATATTCACATAAAACACTTCTACCCAAAAGCTAATTTAGCCTCCCTTTCTTCCCTCAAACTCAATGGCAGACCCCAAAAAATCCTAAAAATGAAGAACGTATATTATGAGGGGGAAAAGAGATGTACACTAAAGCTTGATGTGTTAAAAAATAAAAAGAAAAAATTCTTCCTATACTCGTACGGCTTTAAAGGCCTCTTCCTGTTGAATTGAGACATAGCAATGCCACGTACACAGAATTCATATACAAAAAAGACACCGAGAATATTCAATTTATAGTCAAGATTCATTTAAGACATATGCTTTACTGTACGAGAGCTCAACCACATTATCATTCTGAGCACGGATTCTGTGCACATAGCTTTACTAAGGTCTCGTTTGGGAAGCGTCCCGTTTAGCCAAAAAGTCAAAAAATCACTAAAAAATCAAAAAGCCAACAATCCATACCAAAAAATAAAAGATTCTATTTTCTCTCTACTTTTTGCACATTTTTTCGTAAAAAGTCAAAAAGTCATCCCAAACATACTGGTTTTTTTAGCTCATATTTTAGCCAAATAGCCAAAAAGTTACTAAATTAGCATGTTCCCAAACGAGGCCTAATTGAAGCATGCCATGTCTCTGTCCTCGAGGCTTTTTCAAAAACAGTATCGACTCCAATTTTTATCTAGGGGTGACCTGGGTGATGGTGATGGGGACAGAGCTCATTTGATAGCTAGTAGAGCTTTCGGATGACTTTTTACTTGGTGAAGCCAACCCTGAATCCTGGAAGATGCCCGGGGCTGTAAGTAGCTTCTCATTGAGCCGGATGTCTCTTGAAAGCATTTCAACAACTTGGCTCATCATTGGCCTTCGGTTTGCTGCTGCTTGGGTGCAGAAAAAGGCTACTTTCATGTACTTCATGACTTCTTCCTCCGGGAATTCGTCCATTTCTGGGTCCACTAGCTCTAAGAGTTTCCCTTCTTTATAAAGCTCCCATGCCTGTTAAAAGCAAAACCATATCTGTTAAAAGACCCAAAAATACACTCGTGCGAAGATGCTAGAACAAGACCAAAAACATAAGAGTAGTGCTATACAATATATATAAATATATAATTAAAACAGAATTGATGTGGCATGTTCTGATTTTATCACGACAGATCCATCAAGATGACTTGTATTTTGAAAATTGCGTACTGCCATATCATTCGTGTAATGGATTCTGTATAAAAATTCTCTTAAGAACATCATTTTTCAAAACATAAACAACAAATCACCAAAATTTGGACCCAATATGGTAGATCTGTGAATTTAGTTTCTTTCTGCTTTTTGTAGCTTTCCAGCTAACGAATCAGGCATGTTAAGATCACCAATTTCCCCCAAAACTTAGGTTGTTTAGAAGTGAATCAATAATGTATATCAAGCTATCCCTTAGTTCAAAAAAAAAAAAAAAGAAAAAAAAAAGCTATCCCTGCCCTGGCGGGGGTACCCCACCTTGCACATGAAGCAAAATCAAAGACTTGATGGTCAGTCACAAAGGAAGCAGACCAAGCAATAAATAAAAGAACTGCCACGATTCTGAATTTAAAGCTACCAAGACTTTTTTCGAACATACAAAGGAAAAAACTAGCTCACCCATTCCAGGAGAAACTTCTGCATCCCTCCCCAGTTTGCCCTCGAACTACTTTTGCCACTTACTACTTCAAGTATGAGGACCCCAAAGCTGTACACATCGGCTTTCAATGTTAATTGACCGCCCAGTACATATTCAGGTGCCAAATAACCACTGGATGAAACAAACCGGAGTTATAAGTTAGAATATATATCTTGTTGCATCAAAACATCATGAAACCAATTACATAGTTTTAAAAGGAGAAATCCAATAGTACAATATTACAAAAGGTTTTCAAACTATCCATCCTTAAAAGGAAAACATTTGGTGCACATTAGATGAAAAAAAATGGAAAGAGTACGCAAATTGCGCAAGCAAAAATGCAATTGGCCAAGTTTCAAATGTCAAAATCGTCTTACACTATGTTTCTATGAAAAAAAAAATTTGGAAAAATATTTTTTGCATTTTCTAGCGTTTGGTACAGTGGAAATGAAAGTCAACAGAAAACAAACTTATTTGGACTGAAAATGTTTTCACTTTTCATAGGTGGAAAAAATTTCCGAATTAAAGTTCTACCACCGCCACTATTGCTACCACCCAAACGCCACAAACACCATCACCATGCCACTACCACCACCACAATACAACTAATAGCACATTAGTTTCAAGGTCCTAACCAAACATAAGAAAACATTTTAAAAAATAAAATAAAATTGGAAACAGCTTTTCATAAAACGTGTTTTCCATTGGAAAATATATTTTGCCCAAACAAACGGGGCAGAGTAAATCGTTGTAGAATGCATGGCACATAGCTTCTTGGTTTTGAGCGAAAATATAAAAAATGATATATATCAACATCAAAGAGCACCCAAAACTTCAAGTAGGAATAGGAAAGGGTTACGTACGTTGTTCCTGCTATTTTCGTGCTAATGTGTGTGATGTTATCCGGAAAAAGTTTCGCCAACCCAAAGTCTCCAATTTTCGGTGTGAAGTTTTGGTCAAGAAGTATATTACTGGCTTTAATGTCCCTATGCACTATATGGGGCACAAGTTCTTCATGAAGAAATGTAAGCCCTCTAGCTGTGCCTGTGCAAATGGCAGATCTTTTTCCCCAGTCCAGTTTTACAGTTCTATTTGGTCCTGCAAGCACAAATAAACTATATTTTAGGGCTCCTTTGTGCATAAACTTTAATAAACTGCTCAGATTCTGTACTTTGGTCAAATTACCCAACAATGTGTAATCAAGGCTGTTATTTTCCAGATATTCGTAAACCAAAACCCGGTTAGCTCCTTGAGCACAGCATCCGATTAACTCCACGAGGTTTGGATGCTTGACATTCGATATTGTTTTAATCTCTGTCAGAAACTCCCGCACCCCCTGCCTTGATTCAGCAGAAAGTGTCTTCACAGCAATTTGTGTGCCGTCTTTGTGGATTCCCTGCAAAATTACTATAGAGTGAATAAACACAAACAAACAAAATGTCAATTAAATTCCTTAAATAACTTGTATCAGTTATAGTTGAAATCTAAGAAGCACAAACACTGACATGCAACACATGACAGGCTAATTTTCAAAAAATGCACGATGCAATATGTGAAAGACCCATGCAAAACATATTATTTTATATATTTATTCTCATTAAATTTATATGCTACAACAATAAAAAATAAAAAAATAAATAAATAATTTAAATGGGACACCTGTGTCCCCAGCTTATCCCCAACGTGTGCATCTTGTCTCCAAACAGTTTGAATCACCACCAGTCAGGTTTACGCTTCTATTAGCTTTTGGCCAACCCGTGAGGTGGGCCTTACTAGCCAATGAACAAAATGGACTAAAGAATTATTAACCTTCCATTATGAAATTAAAATATAGCCATGGCAATGACAAATGAAAGTTCTAATCGAACTATAAAGTCAGCATAGTTATATAATTGTCCTCAAACGATGATCAAGAACAGTTCAACTATCATATTAAAAAAAGTTGAAGCGAGGAAAATATAAATTATGGGGAAAACTTTGCAAACTGGAGTACCTTGTACACTGTTCCAAAACCTCCTCGCCCTATCTTATTTCTTAGATGAAAATCATCTGTAGCGGTTCTCAATTCGTTGTACGAGAAAGTTTTTATGTTCTCAAGCGGTTGCCCTGGGCAATAAGGAGACAAAAGAAAATCAAATAGATGTAAAAAAAACAAAAGCTTGCTGACTTGAAAAATAAATTATGTCATCTTCAATTGCTAAGAAAAAGTAATGCACGATAATAAAGCATAATCCTAATCATTTATCAATAACCTATTTTATATTGTATTGATATAAAAGGACATCTGATCTATTAGTTTAAGCTGGGATCACTCTCCTCTTTTATTATTTTCTGCAAAGGGCTATTAGAAGCAGCTGTAATCAGTATATTAAATCAAAACTGAGTCAGCCTGTGAAACAAAATCCCACATCGCCTAAGTACTGAAGTAATATGCAATATGTAAGTGTGAAGGCCCCCTCAACTCAAGAGTTACATGTACTCTTCCAAGACTCTGTAAGTTGGCATCAAAACCGGAATACCCAAGGGTGGGTAGGGTGCTTATCCCCTGTGTTACATGTACTCTTCTTTATTTCCCAGAGTAACCACATCTACCAAATATAACATGGGTAAGGGTGTGAGATATGTATCCAATGCTCGTACCCAATTTAAACACTTGGATTTTTTAATTTGTTACAATATAAAAAAAAAAGATGAAACTCATATTTGCTCGTAAAGCAATATTTTTAACCTCTCACATGAGTTAGATATAGAAATCTTATTTTTCCTAAATCCTATTTAATTTATATTATATTTCTACATAATTTACAACCTCTCATCCGAAAATATTATATAATACGGCAATATAGATGTCTATATGATGCATCCACATACCCATATCCAATTTCGAAGATGTATCCCAAGATTCTAAGATTTAGATTTTTGAAGGTCTGCCATTTGGATATGCACCCGCACCCAATACTCGTACCTAAATCCATGTAACATAGCCTGTCCCTGCCCCTGCCCTGCACAGGGCAGGCGTTGCCAAATGAGCATGCACCACGTGAGGTCCCACATAGTCTGGATACTAAAATAATGTGCAATATATAAGCTTTAGTGCACCCTCACCTCAAGAGTTAGCTTTTGGGGATGAGTTCTACCCAAGACCGTGTAACTAAGTCAAACAAAATTTATGCCTGTCTTGTACATTGAGTTAACTTTTTTCTTTGGAATTGATTATATGCATACATTATAGGACACCCCATGGTGTTTGTAGCACACTGACAACATTATATAAAGTAGGTGTAGACCAGCAAGATTTAGAATTATAAGGTCATAAAACAAATAAGAAGGAAAATTCACTATGCAATGAGTCTGGTTTGTGAATATTATGATTTGTATCAAGTGAGCAATGGGATTGATATCTGGATACCAAAAGTGCCCCATGGTGACATTCATATATCTCAGTTTGATCCTTTACAAGGCATGAGAGACTATGAGGCTGTTGTAAGACATACTTTTTGGTAAAGGTTGTTGGGTAAGTGGTGTAGTACCAGTGGGGGAAAGAAAGAGCAGAGAAGAGGAAGAGGAAGAGGAAGAAGAAGAAGAAGAAGAAGAACCAAAAATGACAAGAAAGAAACCAGCCTAGAGACAGAGAGGTAGGCTGAAGCTGTGTATTCAATAATATTTCAAAAATCCAATGATTCAATACACCGAACCCTATATGTGTATAGGATTGTTCCGGAAAATTGAAATAAAAAATAAAGACCTAAAATTAAGAAGGAAAAAAAAAACAAAATAAAATCAAACTAATAAAATCCTTCACAATATCCATGTTCCTTCATTGTGCCTTCCATCTTCCCAAGGACTATGGCTCACCATCCACCATCCACATTATACTCCATTGGGGAAGAGTGCATCCACTTTGAAAGGCACCCAAAAAGAGCAACATCCCTCAAGGAGGTGCCACCATTTCTCAAGGTGGCCTGTAGCTCACTGAAGAACAAGAGAAAAATAAAAAATAAATCCAAAAATAAATTGATGAGCTTTCAGAATATTATGTGCTCTACAAATGTCAGGGTGATAATACCATAACCACAAAGACACTTTTTGAATGAGAAGCCTATGCAACACACACAATGGAAAGGGGGAAAGAATTTAAGGACAACAAAGCAAACTCTCTCAGGAATAGTTTCGTGTATAGGTTATAGGAACTAGATTCCATTCCTTATCAAAAATAAAAATAAAAAATCAATAAAAACACCAAAAAACAATAAACAAAAACAACAAGGAATGCATATTCCATTTAATGTTAAAGCAATAAACCAAACCAAACCATACCAAGCCTTAAGTCCCATCAAATGGGGCCGGCTACATGAATCCTTCTTCTCCATGCGGCTCTATCAAAGGCCATTTTGTTAGTCAAATTAAGTAGATCCATATCTCTATTTACAACACTAGCCAACGTTAATCTAGGCTTACCCAGTCCCCTAACACTTCAATCTACCGTCACTACATCGCATCTTTTCACTACTGCTTCTATTGGTCTCCATTGAATATGACCAAACCATCTCAATTGATTCTCTCTCAACTTGTTTTCTATCGATGCTACTCCTACCCATTCCCGAATACACTCATTCATAATTTTGTCTTATCTAGTTCTGCTACACATCCACCTTAGCATTCTCATCTCAGCAACACTCATCTTATCAATATGTTATTTCTTGGTTGTCCAACACTCCATCCCATACAACATCGCTAGTCTAATAGTTGTTCTATAGAACTTACCTTTTAGTCTAGTGGGTATTTGTTTATCATATAGTACCCCAGACGCACTTCTCCATTTAAACCATTCCGCCTTAATCTTATGGGCCACATCAGCATCAATCTCCCCTACCGTTGTGATAATTGACTCTAAATAACGAAAATGTTCACTCTTAGGCAGTTCTTGGTTTTCAATTTGCACTTCTCCTCTACTTTCATTGTTACTGTTACTAAATTTACACTCCATATACTCTGTCTTAATTCTGCTTATCCGGAATCCTTTAGATTCGAGTGCTTTTCTCCAAATCTCCAACTTTGTGTTAACTCTTTTTCTAGTCTCATCCACTAACACGATATCATCTACAAAAAACATACATCATGGCACGTCATCTTGAATATTTCTCGTCAACTCATCCATAACTAACGCAAAAAGATAAGGACTTAAGGTAGATCCTTAGTGAAATCCTACAGTGATAGGTATATAGGAATCATGAATCATTGTAATATATATAACATTATAACAATCAATAATACAATCATTTCTCTTTATACATTAAATTTCTACAATAGGAAATTCATTTGTCTCTCCAGTAAACGATCTAATAGTGGTCACCACTCCTTCATACATGTCCCTAATCACATCAATGTAACCTTTTGTCATCCCTTTCCTCTCTAACACCCACCATATTATATCCCGAGGCACTCTATCATATGCTTTCTCAAGGTCAATAAACATCGTATAAATGTCTCTTTTCTTTTCTCTATACTTTCTATTACTCTCTTCAACAGATAGATCACTTCCATTGTTAACCTGCCAAGCATAAACCCAAATTGATTCTCTGACATCTCTGTTATATCTCGCAATCGGCGTTCTATCATTCCATCACCCTCTCCCACACTTTCATTCTATGACACATTAGCTTGATTCCTCTATAGTTGTTACAATTTTGGACATCTCCTTTATTCTTATGGATTGGCAGTAAAATACTTTTCCTCCACTCATCTAACATATTCCTAGTCAACAAAATTTTGCTAAACAACCTAATCAACTAAGCAACTTCCTTTTTACCGAAACACTTCCAAACTTCAATGGGGATATCATTGAGTCCTAAAGCCTTATTTAATTTCATCTTCTTAAGTGCAGTCTCCACTTCAAAGTTCCTAATCTTACGATAGAACCTATAGTCTTGGTTTATCGTATTATTGGTTATTTCTTCCCCTATTGACGTACCTCCATGTTTCTCATTTAATAGTTTCTTAAAATAGTTCTTTCATCTCTCCTTAATCTCTTCATCCTTCACCAATACCTTAGAATCCTCACTCTTGATGCACTTAACTTGATTAAAATCTCTTGTTTTCCTCTCCCATATTCTTAACAAGTTTGTATACTCTCTTCTCTCCCTCCTTACTATTTAGTCTAGTGTATAGGTTATCATAAGCTTTCAACTTAGCTTCTCTCACTACTTTCTTAACCTCCTTATTATTAGCCAATTTATAGCTCTTAAGGTTTTCCTCAATTCTATCCTTCTACCACTTTTTAAAACTAGTGTCTTGGCTTGATCCTAAGTAGCAATGCTTAAGGCAATCAAGATCTATCATGAATCCAAGGAAGCATTCATTAACCAAATTCTCCGAATAATTAATGAGTTAAACACAGCAGAACTGCGCAGTTATAATTTTATGTTAACATGATTGTGACAAAGTTGGTAATTCAGTATGGACACATCACAGAAGCCACCCTATATTTAAATTCTACTCATTTCAAATCCCGTGTAAAAAAATAAAAACCAAAAAAAACCATGGGTTCATTCAATTTTCATGGGACATCCACATGACATGACCCAAACATTTTGAATTTCCAGTAACCCATTAGAGAAAATATGAGCTCAACAATCTGATGGTTATGATGGACTTGAACATTCATTATCATCTATTATAACTATTTGTCATGAAGTCCTTACCTTCCAAGTCTTGATCGCCATGAGCATCATCCTTTTTCCGGCGTACAAGGGAGCCACCAAAGCAGCTGCAGCCCATGTCAGCTTGCAGTTAAATGTCTGAATTTTCTAAGTTATAGTGGGACCTTTCAAAACATAAAATAAAATTCCATAAGAAATTTCCCTCTAGTGCTTTACCCCTAACCCACCAAAATATATCAATGCATTGGTTTGAGTATCTCTGACTTCATCCCTTTTTGCAATTATTTCAGTGAAGGGAAAAACAACACAACAAATTTTGCAATTACTTCAGTTAACTCAAATAGAACATACAACGAATTTCGCAATTACTAAAATGAAGTGAAAAATAGCATACAACCAAGCTGATGAAAACGTTCAAGATACCAAAAATTTTACTACACTTTCACCAGAGCATCAAAATCCAAGGAAGTGTCATCGATGATGAGAAATGCACTTCCCTGAGAGCTGAATCTTATGTACACACACATATATGTATGTACATATGTTCACAAATATATTTATACATGTATATAGATTATTACACTATTTAATATTGATCAGTCAAAAGATAATCAAAGCAACAGAAATATGGACTAAATAAAGATGCATTGACGCTAAATTACTGAAGCGCACACTGCTTCAACAACAATTCATTCGATTCCGTCCCATGTTCACGTTGAAAGTCTCAATCAGAACTTCAAATTCAACGCCATTGATCAACACACGGCATAGTCAAACTCAAATAAATTCCCAATCTCTTCCCATAACTACTTCAAAGACTCAAAAAATTACATTAGACCCCTTCTTATTTTTCACAACCAAACATAGAATCGAGTCAACCAACTCGTCCAAAACGCGAGGCAATCAAAATTCACCATAAATAAGAGCAAGTTTCAGCACAAGGCAATTAAATCACATTTATTCTCTCTCTTTTTTCATCAAATATTTTGTTAAAAATTCCAAACTCATTTTGAAAACCTGTTTTAACCATTTTTGTTAATAATAATTAAAAAAAAAATCATCACCAATCCTTTTAACTCTTTTCAAAATTCCGTCAAATTCGAGTAAAAAACACCTTCGATTGGAGCTCACTTTTAAGCTCTTGATTCATCAAATTTGAAGTTGAGGAAAGAATTGGTGAATAGTTAGGGTAATAGTAGAGTCACAACAATTACCTTCTATTTTGGAGAGTAATTAAGGTGCGATCAGTTCAGTGGTCTCATATCAACGAGTTCTTCAAGTTTCCAAGTCTTTGTTGTTGTGATTCTCGTATTCGCGTTTGTGTTGATGATGAACTTGTTGTTGTTGTTGTTGTTTGTAGGTTTGGAAGGTAAATGGAGAGAGTGAGAAACGAAGAAATGGTCGCGAATCATATAGCTCGCTAACGCGGGCGATTGCGTGTAGTATTTATTTATTTGTAGGAATGAGGAGGGTGGTGGAACTGAGACTAGAAAGCAACCGTTGGATCTCCCCAAAAAACCAAGAAAAATTTGGGCTCGTTTCGCACGAATGTTTGGGCTGAATCATCCCAAACAAAGGCAAATGCACTTTGCTTAAAATAAGATTTGTCTTTTAATTTTGAAAATTAGATATCATCTTTAAAGTTTCTAATTTTATAATAAATTATTCATTTTATTAATAAATTATCAGGAGATTATTTGGTAGTTTCGAAATAAGGTCATGTGGTGTTCTGTGGTAGTAAAATTGGTGAAAATGTGAAGTATTAATTATTTGTGTTGAGTAATTGGAGAACATGATAGGCATAATGTATGGTGATTGATGAGAGAGTATATCTACGTGGTACTCCGAACTATTATATAATTTTTCAAAACCATAAAATCAATTAACAGTATTTAATAATGTCAAAAAAAATTAATTAATAATTCATATAATTTTATCATTGTATAGAAGAATAGTTATGAATTTTATTTTTTTTAATTAATTATATTAAATAAAAAATTATAACAAAATGATATTTGTAAATTTTCAAATTAAAATAATTCGTGTTTTAGACAAATTTTAAAGGGTGTATATGTAATTTAATAAAAAAATAATAATAAAGAGTGAGGACCGCTTTTCCAAATTCTAAAGTGGTATGAAAGTTGGAAAACTCAGCCCAGCTTACAATTCTGTCTATGTTGGCTGCTTTTAATATTACTCTCTGGCCCCCACCACGCCTTCGCTAGAGTTGTTATTGAGGTCGGTCGTTGATTTTGGTTGGATAATGTAAATAATTTATTTTAACTAATTTTTTACCTAGATAATATATAAAAATAATATATAAAAAAATAATTTCAATTATTAAAATAAAATTTATAGTATGCCTCGAATAATATCGTCAAGTGTAGTCCTATAAATAAAAGGTTGGGCTTCTCTTACGTCACGTTTGTTTGATTTCATAGGATTGAGGAAATTAAGAATACGGTAAAATTAAGTGAGGAAATTATTAGTATGATGATATTAAGTTAGAGATATAGGATAAAGAGTATTTGTTTGTATATTACCGGCTTAGTAATATTATAAATAGTATTAATATATAAAATTAATATTTTTAAATTTTTAGTATTTTTTAATATTATAATTATTATTTTTTTGTTCTAAAAAATATAAATTTTGCTTAAAAATTATTTAAAATTTCACTAATCTCCTCACTAAATTTTTAATTCCCACCCCCATGTGGGATTGGTAGTCCTACCAATAGGGGGATTATTAGTCCAAGAGGATAGTTGATCTCCTCACTCATTTCCTCAACCAAACACTCTTTAGATGAGTCTCACGGACTACTAGTCCAATCCTCCTATCCAAATAACCAAACCAACATGGCCTTAAGTTCATGCTTTAGAAGTTTGTGGGATCCAGCACAATCTCATTTTGATGATTCGAATGATTCATTTTGTAGAATTCAGTCTATCATCCATAGCAAAAAAATTAAGTTGATCTAATATTTTTTATTTTATTATATTTATCTCTAAAAAATAAATAATTTATTTTTTAAAATATATCTTCTATTTTTCCAAAGACTAAAATCATCAAATCCTACTCATTTACTCTCTAATCTCTAATGTTTTCTTCCTTCTTCTTCTTCATTTTTTTTTTTTATTTTTTTTTAAAAAAAGGCATGCATTAATGAGCCTTTTAATTTGTTGTACCAGGCACGCATTAATAATGAGCCTTTTAATTTGTTGTACCCATATGAAAAAAAACTGTTGTCCAAAAAAATTGCCATCCTTATAAAAAGCTCCGATCACAAAGTTCTGTAAACATTTATACAGCAAATTTAGTCCTCTCTATATCCAATATAGACTATGTTTTCCAGTAAAATCAAATTAAAACTCATTTTTATTAACATCACAAAATTCAAACCACAATTTAATTATTTAAGTTAATTTTTAAAGTAGTTTTTAGAAATGCAATATACTTTTTTGTGTTATTTAATTTAATTATTATAATTTTGTACCTGGTTTGGGACGTTCTAAATAAGTATATTTTTTTATTTTTTATGAAATATGGGTTGAGTTTGGGTTGGGTTTAAAGTGATGTGATAGAGAGCTGATGTGACTTAAATAAGGTCAAGTTTGACAACCCAAAAATAATTCATCTTTTTATCTTTTTTCCATCACATCATCTTTCTACTTTTCTACATATCTTTTCGTAAAAAGACAAAAGGTACACTTATTTAGGTCATCCCAAACAACCCCTAAGATGATGTGACTTAAATAGGATAGTAACTTTTTTATTTTTTGACTTTTTTAGTACATGACAAACAACATGTTTTAACATTGTTGAAATATACCGAGGACAAATTTGATGTATCTTATTGTAAATTAAAAATTGATAATAACAAAACAAGAGCTATAAGCACCAATTTCTCAACTTCTCAATAATCAACTTATTTAAATTAGGGTTTGGCTTTGGTCCAGTCCATCATCGGATTGGACCGTGTTATTGGGCCCGTGGGGCCCACTACGGGTCCCGTTTTGAAAGTCTGAACAATTCAATGCGTAGAACTCTTCGAGTATTATATGCCTGTAAAAAATCACGTTGATCGGATATCGATAGCTATGTGATCAAATCAGTTTTGTATTAAAAAAAATCGACGGTGAATAAATTAACGGTTGACAAAAAACTGATTTGATCACATAGCTATCGATATCCGATCAACGTGATTTTTTACAGGTATATAGTACTTGAAGAGTTCTACACATTCAACGGTTCAGATTTTCAAAACGAAACCCGTAGTGAACCCCCACAGACCCAACAGTACGATCTAATCCGATGATGGACTGGAGCAAAGCCAAACCCTTTAAATTGTTTATATCTAATTGTAAGTAAAATTTGTACCCAACTGAGTCTAACATGTGCTCCAAATTTAAAATAAATTATAATTAGCTCATTTAAATTATAACCAACAGCCTCATGTACTTACTAAGCCTTCGTTTGGAAAGTGGGTTGGCTTTTTGACTTTTTGGCTATTTTAGCCTGGGCTATTTTAACCTGATTTGGGAAGGACTTTTTGAATTTTTTAACTTTTTTTGTGAGAGATGATTGTAATGATTATGGGTTAGATTTGATGTTTTGTTTTTTGTGGCTAAAATAGTTTATTTTGTTTTTTGTGGCTATTTTAACCAAAAAAAATCTGACTTTTTTCTTCCCAAACGGAGCCTAAATCAACAACCCTTAATACACAAAATCAGTTATGTTTTTGTTACTTTTTATTAAAAAATATACAATTTAACAAACATGTGGGAGATGCTCTAAGAAGTTGTTTGTCAAACAATGGCTAAAGATCAAGTTGTTGACAGAAATATGCAGTTCCAATGTGAATCTCATGGATTGGCATATTGCTTTTTGATTCAATGGCCTTGAAAATGACTTTAAAAATTAGTGGACTTTTTCATTTTGCTTACAACTCCTTCCCACAAACCTTTCATTTTGGTTAAACCAAACAACATTTATATCAATCTTAATAGATTTTGAGTCAAATAATAATTAAAAAGTTACTTTTTTTTTAATTTAACTAATATTTTTTTTGTATGTAGAAACTACTCAAATTAGTCCAAACAAGCATTCAACTCCTAGTATATTTTTTTAGTTTAAAGTTGAATCATAAACCCTTAACTTGTAAACACTTCTTACCACAAATTATAATGGTCTTTGGGTATATACAATCAACTTCATTTAGTTTGTATTTAAAAAAATAAAATAAAGTGAACTAATTCAATTTGCTAGAATCCCACCCTTCATCCAAGTTATTGTGTCGTTTGGTTATCGAACAAAAGAATAAAAATCAGACTAGTTATTCAAGGAACTCATTTATCCAAATTTTGATTATAGAATTTGACGATTGGATAATGTGTGAGTGAATTTCCGATCACACTGCCAACTCAGTATTCAGCTGGAGAGCACTGGCAGAATAGATGGCACATGTCTGACCTGCAACAGAAAGAGAAGATTCCGGCGGTGGTTCGTTCACCCGGGGGCACTTCGACGATCAAGTCAGTATATCTCTCAAAGATAATCAATAGTGCTAAACTCACTGTTCAGAATATCAATTGCGTACCTTAGACCCATCGGGGGTGGCTTTCTTTTATAGTTAACTCAATCCTAGTCCCCATAGAAGCCTAGCTTCAATGGACTTCTGCTCAGTGCTTATCCTGGACTCTCCAAGAGATAAAGATAAACTCCCTAAGAGTTTTATCCTTAACCAGGCTGAGTCCCTCCTTATTCTAGTACTCTTGTCCCTTATCCGCTTATTTCGGATTCCGATATCTTCGGAGATAACCTCGGCTTAGCTGAGATAACCTCGGCGTTATGATCAGGGCATGTGGCACCTCGGCTGACACGTCGGTGTCACCTTGGCCACATGTTAGTATTCTGAAAATGTATCCCCACAACTGCCCCATAGGTTCTATTACCTCGGTATTTTGAAGTGATGGAACCTATATCATTCTTTCCAGTATGTCGGTTTAAAGTATTTTAGCCGAGATCGTTATTAAAGCCGACATATCTTTTTGAGAGTAAGACCTTCACGAACTTCTTTACGTGTATGAGCTGTTATGCACAACAACTCAACCGTTTTCGTCACGTGTTTTCTCCTCATTGGACCGTACTTGAGATGCGCCTGTAAGTCATCTCGCGCCTGTGTGCGTCGTCTGACGCATACACTTTTTTAGGTACATTAATGACCTCTTTGCCGCCGTTTCTGCGTTTTAACAAAAAACATTTCGTCTTTTCACTTTTTCACCTTTGTTCAAGCCCCCAGTTTTTCCTCTCTCTAGTTCTTTTCTTCAAAATCCGCCATTTGCTCTATATTCTTCAAGCTCTGTTACCGTTGTTCACCTTCTTCGACGAGGCTCTTGCTAATATTCCCCGTTCGCCGCCGTCGCCTGATCTCGGCGAACTC